CAATCCTATATACCCAAAGGAATATAAAATCCTATATACCCAAAGGAATATAAATTGTTCTACCATAAGGACACATGCATGTGTATGTTCATTGCAGCAATATTCACCATAGCACAGACATGGAATCAACCTAAATGTACATCAGCAGTAGACTGGATAAAGAAAATGTGATGCATATACACCATAGAATACTATGCAGTCATAAAAGTGAACAAAATCATGTCCTTTGCAGCAACGTGGATGGAGCTGGAGGCCACTATCCTAAACAAACTAATGCAAGAACAGAAAATCAAATACCGCATGTTGTCACTTGTAAGTGGGAGTTAAAAGTTGAGTGCACGTGGACACGAAGAAGGGAACAGTAGGTACCTACCGGGGCCTACTTCAGGGTGGAGGGTGAGAAGAAAATGAGGATCTAAGTATAATAAGTATAATAAGTATAGTACCTATCAGGTGCTATATGTATTACCTGGGTGATGAAATAATCTATACTCCAAACCCCTGTGACATGCAATTTACCTTTATAACAATTCTGCACATGTACCTCTGAAACTCAAATGAAAGTCAGAAAAATAAAAATTGAATTTTAAAGCTGGGGCTGAGCATGGTGGCTCACACCTAGAATCCCAGCATTTTGGGAGGCTGAGGCAAGAGAATCGCTTGAGGCCAAGAGTTCGAGACCAGCCTGGGCAACAATACCTTATCTCTACAAAAAATAAAAATTAAAAATAAATAAATTTGGTTTTCCACTTTCCTAAAAATTTATTAAGTATATAAATAAGTTCTTAACTTATACTAGAAACAATAGTAAATTTTTTATTTCCTATGGAGTATGACAAGGGCCATCTACTTCAGTAAACGTCTATTATCTCTTTGTCTCTTGGGCCTTTTATCCATGCCTTTGAATGATTTTCTGTGTATGTATTCGATTGTCAAAGATGTAAACTATGCATGCCTTAATTAATGTATCTTAAAAGTGCACTTTGCTATGGAAATGTTTTCGCTTTAGATTTTCTGAAACAAGTATCCTGAAATTTTAGAACTTTCAAAACCAGGTTTATATGATCATACCTGTTGTACTCTTATTACTATTACACGCAGAGTATTTTTTAATCACAGGCATGTCTCCAAAATAGGGATAAATATCCCTGGGGATGAATGTTTTCCCTAATATTCTCTAAGGTTTGTTCAAGGATACACTTAAGTGGGCATGGATCATGTTTTTTTATATCAGATTGAGGCAGTTGGCATGGGTGGAAGAGGTACCATCTGTGTTCTAACAGCAGGAGGAGCACCACATCAATGTGTATGTCTGTTGGAAATGCTTTGCCTAAGAAAACAGTTTGTTCAGTGAACTCTGCTTTAGATGCTTGGAATTTCCCTGCAAAATGAAGCAAGCAACCGAATAAGCTGTCTCTGAGCATAACCTGATGAAAACTCCTTCATTTCTGTAGCTGTGGCCTTGATGTTAATCTTTATTACCTCTAACTGCATGAAGTCCCATGTAGCTTTCACGTAACCAGGGATCTGACAAATTGAACTGATAGATTTCCTGCCTGAGAAAAAGAACATTTCTAGTAGCTTTTTAATTTCTGTGGACACAGCTTTGTCCTCCTAGCTCACTTTTCCCACTACTAATAATAGTATTTTAACATTTTGATAAGCTAATTGAGATCTTTTCTTAAACTGTTCCAGACAACTAGACATATTAACATATAGGAATATAAGAATAAATTGTAACTGAGAACTATCATGTCTTAATCATGTGACTATTTTATTGGAAAGCTATAAAAACATTTGTGTGAGTCTGTTGTGCGTTGAGGTTAGTGGGAGAGAAAGGCGGAAATGGACTTTTGAATCATTATAGTCAGGTCTCAGATTTCTTTTTTCTGTTCTTTTTTTTTTTTTTTTTTTTTTGAGACAGAGTTTCACTCTGTCACCCAGGCTAGAATGCAGTGGCCCAGTCGCAGCTCACCGTAACCTCTGCCTCCTTGGTTCAAGCGATTCTCCTGCCTCAGCCTCCCAAGTAACTGGGATTACAGGTGCCCACCACCATGCCTGGCAAATTTTTGTATTTTTAGTAGAGATGGGGTTTCACCATGTTTGTCCAGGCTGTTCTCGAACTCCCAACCTCAGGTGATCCACCATCAGATTTCTGTGTTGATAAGTAGGAAAGGCATGTCTTTGATAATACCAAAGAGTGGATCATCCAACAGCTGTTTCTCTTTGATGTGAAAATGTATAACAGAAAATTTTACTTTTCCTAACCTACTGACTTTCTTAATTCTCTTTGGCTTATGTAACGAAAAGTAATTTTTTTGACTTAGCTTATTTGTATTCAAAGAGCCAGAGATGAGAAGAGAGAGGGCACTCCAGAAGCATACTGGTTGCTTGGGAAGAATTTGGCCTCTACTAAACATTATTAAAGATGTTCAAGAAATTGGGTAAGCCAAATATGAAAACTATGAGAGATTACATTAACTCAGCTTTTTAATTGAGCAGTGAATCTTCAGGGGGATATTCTATTTAATTTTTAGAGAATTACTTTGGAAACTTCATGCCTGTGTTGATATTTATATGTACTAATGAAATACACAAAAATTTGCAGCTTTGACTAAATTGGATCAATGTAGATTTAGTTAACCCAGATATCTAAATAACCAAACTAGGTAACCCAGAGACAAACATTCTGTCTTTTATCAGCAGCAAGATTCCTTTGATTTTTGTTTTCCATCTCATTTTGCCTACATTTGCTTATGACAAAGTGATCCTAAAATGGTTACCTGAAAATAAACAAAATAAACACACTTACATGGCAATATACTCTCTCTCTCTTCCTTTTTTTTTTGAGAGGGAGTCTCCCTCTATTGCCCAGGCTGGAATGCAGTGGTGCGATCTCGGCTCACTGCAACCTCCACCTCCAGGGTTCCAGCGATTCTCCTGCCTCAGCTTCCCAAGTAGCTGGGATTACAGACATGCACCACCGCGCCCGGCTGCTTCTTTTGTACTTTTAGTAGAGACAGGGTTTCACCATATTGACCAGGCTGGTCTCGAACTCCTGACCTCAGGTAATCTGCCCACCTCAGCCTCCCAAAATGCTGGGATTACAGGCGTGAGCCATCGCTCCCAGCCTATACTCCTTTATTTTTTTTTTAACTTAATTTTAGTAGAACAAATACGTTTGTACTTCTTCAAACTTGTCATGATGTTATATATTTGAATAAGCAGTATAAGAAACTTATGTGGGTCTTGTTCACAGTCTACTTTTTCTGCTAATAATATGATGATACTTTGTGGCTCACTTTGTCTAATATAATTTGAACGTGATAATACCCTTTGAAAGGAATTGAGCTTCAGCACCAGCTTGATATGTGCAAACAGGGTGATCTATATGCAACAACAACAACAACAACAACAACGAAAACGTGATATTGTCATAGGCTGAGCTGATAAGGATAGGAGTCTGGGGCAAAAGAGAGGTAGTTGTCCTTCTCTGCTCTGTACTGCTAAGACTTCAACTGGAGTATGTTTCTTTTATGGCACTGTATTTCAGGTGGGATGTTGGGGTGATGGCCAGCAACTTAAACAGTGGCTTTCAAAACTTTTGACCACATACATTTGGCATCACAACCAAGTATTTGCATTGGTGTGTGTGTAACTGAAAAGTTTTACAAAACATGTATTACATGTGATGGACCAAAATATTTTCTATTCTCAGTTATATTAAGTTCTGATTTAGTTTTGAAAAATTAATATCATGGTGCAACTCAGGAGTAAATCCCCACATTTTGAAAAACACCGATCTGAAACACTTATTTTACCATAATAATTTAGTGGTTGTTATCATCATTATCAGCATTATTTGACAACAAATAAAACCTTAGTTGAGGTGTAGTTGCTTACTCAATGGATAGTGCATGCTGTTTAGTATATACAGTCATTTGACGGGGGTATGCGTGTGAAAAATGCATTAATTGATTTCGTTGTTATGTTAACATCATGATGTACTTACACAAACTCAGATGGTATAGCCTACTACACACCTAGGCTATATCGTGTAGCCTGTTGTTCCTAGGCTGCAAACCTGTCTAGCGTGTGACTGTACTGAATGCTGGAGGCGGTTGTAACAAGATGATACATATCTGCGTATCTAAACATAAAAAGGGTACTATAGGCTGGCTGCAGTGGCTCATGCCTGTAATCCTAGTACTTTGGGAGGCCAAGGCAGGCAGATCACTTGAAGCCAGGAGTTCGAGACTAGACTGGCCAACCTAGTGAAACCCCATCTCTACTAAAAATACAAAAACTAGCCAGATGCGGTGGCAGGTGCCTGTCATCCCAGCTACTCAGGAGGCTGAGGCAGGAGAATCGCTTGAACCCGGGAGGCAGAGGTTGCAGTGAGCTGAGCTGGTGCCACTGCATTCCAGCCTGGGCAACAAAGTGAGACTCTGTTTCCAAAAAAAAAGAAAAAGGAAGAAAGAAAAAGAAGAAGGCACTGTAAAAATGTGTTATTATAATCTTATGGAATCACTGTTCTATATGTAGTCTGCCATTGACTGAAATGTCATTATATGGCACATGACTGTGCTTACATGTTGCCAAAAAGAGTCATTCCGTGTTTCAGGGAAATGCGGTGGCTGGCTATATATACAATAAAAATTTCTTAAGCAAGGGCTTGTCTATGTGCAATCACTGCTAAAAATGAAGTCCCCATGATGAATTTAACTTTGTCTATCAGTAACATATTTGTTCATCATATTGTTATTAGAAAATCAGATATACCAAAAGAAGATATATCACCTTAAATAAATATAGAACTGAGACTACATTGCACAGCCTTGTCTAAGCAAATACAAATTAAATTCCTACTGAATGCCTGACTCTCTTACTCCATCTGCCCTTGTCTCTAGTCAAAACACTTCTTTCCTGCCTCGTAGAATCTGAATTCTAATGACATTTGCAATCTATCTGGTTAAAAGACGAGTGGCCATACTTTTTTGATCAAATATGCATTTATTGCCTCAATTTGTGTGGTACTGTAATGAAAAGGCATTATAGGACAATCGTAAATTAAATTTCATCAATTCCAATATTCAATATTCCCAATATCCTGTTTGATGTATCTTTTAGGTATAGCATATGCTATATCTTCATCCCTCTCAGTTGTAATTTCTGAGATAATACTTCCATTTTTCACTGTACCTGGAATAAAACAATAAAAACGTTATAGTTGGCATAAATTAAAGTACAAGAGGTGACATAAATACATTATTCATTCCTTAAATCTGTTAATTTGGGTTGACTGTCATTAGTCCCACCCTTCGCCTTCCCTCTCATTCTGTCTCTTCATTGGTAAAGGATGAGCTAGCTTAGCCTACTAGAGCTGAAAAAAACCCTGAGGTTCGTGACATCAAACAGAAAGGGAGAATGGTATGATAAAAATAACATGGGCTATACAAAGTAAATATACTAAAATGTTTAATTTCAGGATCTAGGTGATGGGTGTGTTCAGTATACAATTCTTTTAATTTTTCTGTATATTTAAAAATTGTCATTAAAAATGTTAGAAAACACTGGGTGCGATGGCTCACGCCTGTAATCCTAGCACTTTCGGAGGCCAAGGCAGTCAGATCACTTGAGATCAGGAGTTCAAAACCAGCCTGGCCAACATGGTGAAACCCTGTCTCTACCCGTGTTGGCTCACACCTGTAATCCCAGCACTTTGGGACCACAATCCACGACTTCTGACATGTGGCCAGGACTCTGTGCTCGACGCTTGGGTAGGACAAAGATTTTGAAGCCGGCAAGTGATGAAACATTCATACCTGAGCTTTAGAAAGGTGAATAAACCCATGTGTTTTACAGTGAGTGAGAATGGGTGAGGAGCAGTGGCTTGCTCATAGCGGGCATTTGGTAAACATAAAAGAAAACGAAAAAGGGTCCGATCTAGGAAGGGAGAAACCTTGCAAGACACAATTGTGTCCCACTGGCCCAAAGAACTCTGAATCAAGTGGCCTTATAGGGTTCCAGGAGAGAAAGCCAAGACAGAAGAAACAAAAAGGTCAGAAAGCTGCTCACAGGACTGCTGTATATGATTGCATAATTTGCATTGCACAAAGGTACCTGGTGGGTAAGAGTAGGCAGTAAGGCCTGGAATTAAGCCTGTATTGTGTTTGCTATGCCATGAGCCCACAGAGCTACGTAAGCCCACAGAGGGTCCTCATTCTTAATATGTCCCACAAGAGAGAGTGCTTTACCGATCTGTTAATCCAGAGAGGTGTCTTTTTCCAATCTATCTGTCGAGAGGGAGCACCTTTCTCTAATTTGCATAAATGTGCTCTATGTATGCTAGTGGTGACCACACTGGTCCCTCTTGGAGTCATGTAGCACAATGCCCGTGGCAATGGCTATGGTTCCCCACCCATCCTCCAGGTTTTCCACCTTCTGTACTGCTCCAGCAATTGTATAAAATGGCTGGATGCAGGGATCCCAATTAGAAAGCTGTTGAGGGAAATCAGAGAGTGGACAAAGGATAGAGATAGATTTAAGAAGATAAGGAAATAATTTGATATTATACAAGGATCATAAAATGTGGTTTTCAAATAGCAAAAATGCTAAATGTTAATAAACGTAATGTAATGTATTCCAATGTTCAGTAGAATAATTTTGCTGCACTTGCAAAATTATGAGGGCATGTTCATATTGAATATTTGTCATCAGTAATATGGAACATTAACAACTGAATCAATTTGATTTCCGGTCTGCTCCTGTTACAGTATACATTGGGAAACATCTTCCTGGGTTGAGGACCTGGAGGGAAGCTTGTGTTTTCATCAGAAGGTCAGAAAGCCAGTGTCAGGGAGGGATCAGGAGTATCACTAATTAAATGATACATTGTATAGATTTCACTTTCTTTGTAATAAATTGAATCGTTTTTGCATACCACATAACTCCAACAAAGATCTCTTTCCTGACTTTTCCAATTATCAAGTGTTGACTCCTGTCTTTTGAGATAAACAAAATACCAACTAGCAGTCAAGCAAAAAAGCAGCAAGTATGGTAGTGCCTGCCTATAGTCCCAGCTGTTCCTTGTAGTCCCAGTTACTTGCGAGGCTGAAGCAGGAGGAGCACTTGAACCCAGGAGTTTTGAGTCCAGCCTGAGCAGCAGCAAGAACCTGTCTCTAAAAAAAGAACAAAACAAAACAAACAAAAACCTAAAAATGCAAAGCAGAAGACAAATAACTTTGAAGAAACAATAGATGCTGGAAAGGCTTTGGAGAAATAGGAATGCTTTTACACTGTTGGTGGGAGTGTAAATTAGTTCAACTAATGTGGAATACAGTGTGGCAACTCCTCAAGGATCTAGAATCAGAAATACCACTTGACCCAGCCACCCCGTTACTGGGTATTTACCCAGAGGATTGTAAGTCATTCTGCCATAAAGACACATGCACACGTATGTTTAGTGCAACACTGTTTACAATCGCAAAGACTTGGAACCAACCCAAATGCCCATCAATGATAGATTGGATAAAGAAAATGTGGTACATATACACCATTGACTACTATGCAGCCAGAAAAAAGAATGAGTTCAAGGCTGGGAGTGGTGGCTCATGCCTGTAATCCCAGCACTTTGGGAGGATGAGGCAGTTGGATAACGAGGTCAGGAGTTCAAGACCAACCTGGTCAAGATGGTGAAACCCCATCTGTACTAAAAATGCAAAAAAAATTAGCTGGGCATGGTGGCAGGCGCTTGTAATCTCAGCTACTCAGAGGCTGAGGCAGATAATTGCTTGAACCCGGGAGGCAGGAGTTGCAGTTAGCCAAGATTGCACCACTACATTCCAGCCTGGGCAACAGAGCAAGACTCAGTCTCAAAAAAAAAAAAAAAAAAAAGAAAGAAAGAAAGAAAGAAGAGAAAAGAATGAGTTCATGTTCTTTGCAGGTACATGGATGAAGCTAGAAGCCATCATTCTCAGTAAACTAACACAGGAACAGAAAACCAACCACCACATGTTCTCACTCATAAGTGGAAGTTGAACAATGAGAACACATGGACACAGGGAGGGGGGAGAAAGGGGAGGGAAAGCATTAGGACAAATACCTGATGCATGTGGGGCTTAAAACCTAGATGAAGGGTTGATGGCTGCAGCAAACCACCATGGCACATGTATACCTATGTGACAAACCTGCACATTCTACACATGTATCCCAGAACTTAAAGTAAAATTTTAAAAAAAGAAAGCTGTACACTTGCAAATTGTCTACATCTGGATTAATATGCCCTGCCAATTAAAGCACATAAAACACATATGTCAAATTACAATTAAAGTCATATAGCCATGTTCATATAATCTGCTTGTAAACAAGGTTTTTTTGTTTTTTTTTTTTTTTTTTTTTTTTTTTTTTTCGGTGTTAAGCAAAAACAAGTGAAAGAGAACAAAGCAGGAATCCCTAAAGAGAATGGTCAGTTTATAGACATGAAAGATGACAATATTTAATATCTGAGCAAATACTCATCCAATTATTGTATTTTATGTACAGTACTGTGAACCTAAACACAGATAAAGAAAGAATTACACAGCGTACGAAAGAAGCCTTAACCTATCTTTTGAAATAACTGTAATCTCACTGAATGTGAAGAATGCATTAATTTACCTGAATAGTTTGAAGAAAATTCATTATCTTGATGTGTTCTGTTTTTATCCTTTTGTCTGGATGGTGGTCCATTGAATTTTATGGGTGCTGCAAAATATTTGTGAGAATTTACTGTCTTGAGAATACTTCACAGTGAAATATAATTACCTCCAGGAATAACTTTTGCTTCCCCAATGTTTAATGTTATTTTTTAAGCCTGTTAGTTGTCCTGTCGACTTTCACTCACCTGAATAAGCCAGGTGTACATGAAGTTGGTATTCCACTAAAAATACAAAAATAAGAAAATAAAAGAACATTGGAATTTTGTTTATTATTTAAATATATTTATTTTTTGCCCTATGGACAAAAGGAGAAGTTTAACTCTAGTCCAGTTTATCTGCCCTTTCTGTCTCCTTCGGATGAAAATGATCTCCTTTCAGGATTATGAAGTGAAACCACCAATATGAAGTCAGCATACGTCATCATAATGATGATGATAATGATCATCATTGATGATGGCTTGGTCATAGAACCAAGCCAGCTAATGGAGTAACTAAGAGAATGAGGAGGTGGGCCTAGATGGTTGCTTAGGGATTTTAGTTGGCTTGTGGAATTAGGGGTGAATGATACGAGGTCCCTGTCCTCAGGGAAGTTGTGGTTCAGTAACAGAAGGCAGTCACCTAATTCAGAGTGGCACACATCACCAGAAGGAAATAGAGAAGGCAGGAGAAGAGAAATAGGAGGGATTCTGTGGTCAAAATGCCTGGATTCTAATCCTGCTCCTTCACTTACTAGTTGTTGATTTCAAGAAAGTTCCCTGCACACTGAACCTCAGTTTTCTCGTCTGTGAAATGGAGATAATAAATAGTACTTTTCTCATAGGGTTACTGTGATGGTTAAATAAGACAATCAGTATATCAGTGTCCATATAGCAGTAACTGTCACTGAACAAATTTCAGTTATTATATATGATTATCTATACCAGATAATAAATATATCAACAATTATATATCTCTATATAAAAATGCCAGATATTATTTATGATAACATCTATTTCAGTTTATTCAGTTAATCAACAACTTAGTATACCTCAATCCTCTAGGATAATATTCAGAGACTTAGACCCAAGTAGCTGTCTCCCAGTTTCCTCTGGGAGACAAACTGAATAATCCTGTTTTATAGTTTCCTCCCGTAAATCTGTTTCTCTTGTCCCCCGTCAATTACCTGTTACCACCATCCACCTAGTCACTTATGTCCATAAACTAACAATCATCCTAGGTTTCTTTCCCCCTTATTGCAGCAATAATATCCTGCTGACTGTACCTCTAAAATGTGATCTGAATTAGAACCCTTGGCACCACCTATTCTGCTTTCACCTAAATCAATCCATCAACATCTTTTGCTTGGACCACTGCAAAAAGCCTTTGTAGAGCTTTCCCTGCTTCCACACTTGCCAGGTTACAATTCATTCTCAACACAGTAGCCAAAGCTACAATTAAAAAATATATATATACACACACATATATATACACATATATATACACACACTATATATAGAGAGAGTGTATGTATATATATACACACGCATATATATACACACACACATATATATATATACACACACACACACACACACACACACACACACACATATATATATAGGCCGAGTGTGGTGGCTCACGCCTGTAATCCCAGCACTTTGGGAGTCCAAGGCAGGTAGATCACAAGGTCAGGAGTTCAAGACCAGCCTGGCCAAGATGGTGAAACCACATCTCTACTAAAAATACAAAAATTAGCTGGGTGTGGTGGTGGGTGCCTGTAGCCCCAGCTACTCCGGAGGCTGAGGCAGAAAATTACTTGAACCAGGGAGGCGGAGGTTGCAGTGAGCCGAGATCGTGCCACCGCACTCCGGCCTGGGCAACAGAGCGAGACTCCGTCTCAAAAATATATATATATAGTCATTTCTTTGCTAAAGACCTCGCAGTAGCCTTGCATTTTGTGACCAACCCAACCTGGGCCCATCCTCCTGCCTGTCACCACAAAGTCAAACACTGACATTGGAATTTGCAATGAAAAAAAGGGAGGCATTTATTGCAGGGCCCCAAGCAAGGAGAAATAGGCAACTTATGGTTAAGACACAAACTCCCTGATAGCTTAAGGGTTTTTAAAGCCAGGGAGGCAGAGATCACAAAGCAAAAAATCGATACATGAAAGCTATACATTGCTTTGACCTCAAAAGGTGGGACACCTTAAAGCAGGGGCCCACAGGTGGATTCAAAGATTTTCTGATTTGCAATTGCTTAAGGAGGCGAAGTTTTGTCAAAAATTTGGCTGGATGCGGTGACTCATGCCTATAATTCCAGCATTTTGGGAGGCCGAGGTGGGCGGATCACAAGGTCAAGAGATCGAGACCATCCTGGGCAACTTGGTGAAACCCCGTCTCTACTAAAAATACAAAAATTACCCGGCCATGGTGGTGGGCGCCTGTAGTCCCAGCTACTCAGGAGGCTGGGGCAGGAGAATCGCTTGAACCCAGGAGGTGGAAGTTGCAATGAGCCAAGATCGTACCACTGCACTCCAGCCTGGCAACAGAGCGAGGCTCCGTCTCAAAAAAGAAAAAAAAACAAGAAAATAAAATTTGGCAACAGCAGAAAGGAATGTTGAGCTCTGGCCTGTGAGTGTGACTTCCTCCAGGCCCTACAGGAAGAGACTCAGAACACAGAATGGGCATCAGAGTTCAGTCCTCAGTTCCCTCATCTGAGGTCTACCTGCCAGCAGATGGCATTTTTCCACCGGTGGGGGGTCCACTTTTCTGAAGAACAACTCAGGGACATATGTTAAGATATTATGTTTAGGCCAGGCACAGTGGCTCATGCCTGTAATTCCAACACTTTGGGAGGCCGAGGCGGGTGGATCACCTGAGGTCAGGAGTTCGAGACCAGCCTGAGCAACATGGAGAAACCCCGTCTCTACTAAAAATACAAAATTAGCCCAGCATGGTGGCGCATGCCTTTAATCCTAGCTACTCAGGAGGCTGAGGCAGGAGAACCACTTGAACCCAGGAGGCAGAGGTTGCGGTGAGCCAAGATCTCGCCATTGCGTTCTGGCCTGGGCCACAAGCATGAAACTCCTTCCCCCCAGCCAAAAAAAAAAAAAAAGATATTATCTTTGGTTTCTATACAGAAGTAAACACATTATGACTTGAACTTCCTTGGCTACTATTATAGGCTACTATAGGCTACTATTACCTTCTTGCTTATCAGGTTGCTAATTTACTTCTCAAGGCTAGCTAGGTGCCTGGAATTTCCCTTGAAGGAACTCAAGATTTTCCTTTTATTTCCATTCTTGGGTTGGGAAGGTGCCTGGCAGGCCCCTAAGAGGGGTCCCTACTCCATCTCAAATGAAATTAGATATCCAAGCTCATTTCTATTGCTAGTAGAGCCCTACATGACGTGGCCCTTGCTCATCGTTATCGTCTTATCTCCTATCATTTTCCATCTTTTGGTCCCTGGATATGTCAAGCTCATTCAGTCTCAGGATCTTTGCATTAGTTTTTCCTTCAGCCCAGAAGTACTTCCACATGTAAGTTTCTTGGTTCACTCTTGTCGTTAGGACTCACTTCAAATGTCACTCTCTGGCCTTTCCTGACTACCTAGGCTACATATATCACTCTGCTTTATTTTATTTGTAGTGCTTATTGTTATCTTACATTTTTGTTTGTTTGTTTGTTTGTTTTTTGAGAGAGAATCTCGTACCATTGCCCTGGCTGGGGTGCAGTGGTGCGATCTTAGTTCACTGCAACCTCTGCCTTTTGGGTTCAAGCAATTCTTGTGCCTCAGCCACCTAAGTAGCTGGGATTACAGGTGTGCGGCACCGCACCTGACTAACTTTTGTATTTTTGGTAGAGACAAGGTTTCACCATGTTGACCAGGCTGGTCTCGAACTCCTGGCCTCAGGTGATCTGCCCATCTCCACCTCCCAAGGTGCTGGGATTACAGGTGTGAGCCACCACACCCAGCTTGTTATCTTACATTCTTATTATTTGTTTGATTCCTTGTCAAACTCATAAACTCTTTCAAGGCATGGACCTTGTCTGTCTTTTTTGCTGTTATATGTCAGCATCTAATACAGTGCCAGGTTTTCCCCATTACCTCATGCTTTGCTATACGGTGTCTAGAAGTGTTCTTGATTGATGGATGTAACAACACTAGTCTTTTCTGTGTTTTTCAGCCAAATGCTGGATTATTTTGGTGAATTTTTAGCATAATTCTCTGGAGGACACACTAGACAATCTCCAGAGGAGGATATTAAAAATGGTGAGAACTTTGAAACTTTATCATAGAAGAAACAGTTCATGAATTTATATGTTTAATCTGGAGAAGGGCTGGGCATGGTGGCTCATGCCTGTAATCTCAGCCCCTTGAGAGGCCGAGGAGGGCAGATCATGAGGTCAGGAGTTTGAGACCAGCCTGGCCAACATGGTGAAATGCGGTCTCTACTAAAAATACAAAAATTAGCTGGGCATGGTGGCGCATGCCTGTAATTCCAGCTATTCGGGAGGCTGAGGCAGGAGAATCACTTGAATCCGGGAGGCAGAGGTTGCAGTGAGTTGAGATCGTGCCATTGCACTCCAGCCTGGGCAAGAGAGCGAGACTCCATCTAAACAAACAAACAAACAAAAAACAAAACCTTAATCTGGAGAAGGGCAGACTAAAGACAGCCATCTCACTTTCATCACCGTTTCTCATTCTTCTCTTGCTCATTTGTGCTCTCTCACTCTTCCCAATTTTTTAGTCATGACTGCGTCTAGTTGTGTTAAGGATAAGTCCTAATTCTGGACCTTCTTTTCTCTTTGAATCCAGATGGAAATTAAAGTTTCATCCAAATTATCAGCAGAAAAGTTGAGCTACCTAGGTGACCTGTGATTTTACTCATGCTGTACTGACATGGGTACGATGCTTTGCTAGAAGATACGTTCTAATAAATGCAGATGGCTGGAACATTCAATGGACTCATCTTTAATGTAAAGTACTTAAATGCATTATATTCTTAGAGTTTGTATGCATTAGATTGAAAACACCACCGTCTTCCCTTTTATCAACTGATTTAAAATAAATTAGTTTGTTTTGTTTTGTTTTGTTTTTTCTCTAAGCAACACTAGGCATGGGTACATCAACAGCTCAGGATAAAACCACAGTGGAATGTGGTTCCAATTCTGTTTTCCTGAATGAACTCTTGCTTTTGTGAGTCCTTCTCTGGAGACTAGATACTATTTCTCCAATG